TCTGGCCCCAGATATATTTCGCGGCGCAGCTGGAAGGGTCTGGCAAAGGCTCCGCTCGGGCTCAGCACCAGGGCAGGCGATGCGGCGGATGAGGTCGTGGAGCTGCGCGCCGACCCTTCTCCTCCAAGCCCTTGGGGTTCCAGAGTATGTCGGTGGGCTCGAGTCCCGGCGCAGGCTGGAAACGCAGCAGAGGCGACCAACCTTCCGAGGTCCAGCCGCTGCAGCGGTCGAAGAAGAACTTGCCCTCAAAGAACGTCTCGCGAAGGCTCGCCAGGGCGCGTTGGCCTAGGATTCCGGTGCGGATCTGGCATTCTGTCGGGCCCGACGTGCTGTTGCTAGGGCTGGGAAGCGGACCGTCGCGTCGTTGTCCTTGAGGCCTCAGAGGGCCTGCTGCGCGTGGCGCGCGGCAATGCCTGCCGCGCCTGTGAACTGCACCACGAAGAGCTTCACCTGTGGATCGCTTTCGACGCGGTAGGTGCCGACCAAGTCCAAAGTCTTGAGCTAGGAGTCGAGAGAAAGGGGTGCCGCGTCGCGAGTGACCAGAGTAGCTGCCGCAACGTCGAGGATCGTCGGGCCGCCCTCTCGCTGGAAGTTCCTGTCCGACGGTTTGGGCGGCTGCGGTGCCCGGCTAGCGGACGCCAGGTCCACGCGCATCTGCTCCATCTGCAGCTGAAGGTCGGCGAGCTGCTCGTCGTGGTCGCCCAACTACCTGTCGTGCTCGCTGGGCAAGGTCCTGAATCTGTCGAGTTGGGCCTAGATGTGCATCTCGAGGTCATCGAGCTCGGGCTTGACGCGGGCGGTGGCTGCTGCAGCGGCTTCTCCAGGTGCCGCCACGATGGAGTCCGTGAGTCGTCGAATAACCTCGTCGACGGGGGCCGCGGCTGCTTGGGTGGCGGCGGCTGCATCGTTGGCGAAATCTTGCTCGCACTCCATCCTGAACTGGCCGAAAGATTCGTCGATGCGCACGAGCTCCCAAACGTGGTCGTCGCACCAACTCTCTTGCGCGAGGTCCTCGGGCGCATCTCCTTCGCTGCCTGGGCCTCTACCAGACCGGGGTCTGACATCGTCCTCGTCCGCACCATAAACAGAGCCAGAAGCAGGGCTGCCGTCTACAGGCTTCTTCTCCTTGGGGCCCACAACCTTTCTGGTTCTGCGCGCACCATCGAACATGCACTCGCCGATGTGGAGCAGCAGCGGCTCTGGTGTGAATGCCGACCACTGCCATGGCAGCGCGGCCGACCGAGTCCCCAACATGAATAGATGCTGGCCGCGGACCAGCGGCATCCACTTCATCCCCTGGGGGAGCTAAAAAGGCGACGGACGAGGAGGAGGGGAGTAGTAGGAGGAGGAGGAGGAGGAGGAGGAGGGGGAGGAGGAGGAGGCCAGTGCCGCCGTAGCCCAACGTTCGCAACGCAGGTGCCGCTGTCACGGGGCCAGGGAGCGCAGTGCTATTGGATGCTGGCCTGCGCTGTGTATTACGTGATCATCACACGGGCAACAGCACAAACTGAGTTAGCCTGGCCATTGGCTTTGCCCTGCGCAGCTGCATCGCCTACGGCGCGGCCCCCGCTCTTCATGTACTGCGCGCCGCGGGGCGGTGCGGATACAGGGGCTGCCGAGCAAACGCGCAGAGGTGCGCTGAAAGTTTTGCGGGTCGCGGTTCACGTGATGGGGTGTGCGGATCTGGAGGGGGCATTATATGCGAACGCCCTCGCTGGCGCCGTCAGTGGAGCTCCTTGTGCGGCGCGATCCGCCTAAAGGTGCGCACAGAAAGGCGGAAGGACGCCCTGCGCACTTGCCGAGTAAGGCCGTACGTAAATCTCGCGGCGGCGCAGAACCCGTTTAAGGCGTATGCCGAAACTGGGGGGCGGACGCCTTTCATACATTCCCACCCAGGCCGTTTGAGGAGCTCTCTTTCGGCCGAGATCCTCGTGAGGGGTGCGTCGACATGGGCAGATGGGCACTACGCGAACGCGCCCATGGGGCCGCAGGTGGAGCTCCCCATGGGGCACGATGCGCAGAAGTGGTGCATCCGCATAAGTGGCGAGCACAAAAAGGCGGAGGAACGCATGCAAACGCCCTCACTGAGGCCGTACATTGAGCTCCCAATGAGGGCACGAAGAGGGTGAGAGGTGTGTCGACATGGACGCGGGACGCTATGCGAACGCCGTCACAAGGGCCGTCGGTGGAGCTCCCTAAGGAACATTTGATGGGTGTGCCAGACTGGGCGGGGCGGCGCGATGCGACGGCCCTCAATGAGGCAGTAGGTGGGGCTCGTCCTGGGGCCTGGTCCGCGTGAGGGTTGTGCCGAAAATGGCGAGGGGGACGCTATGTGAACACCATCACTGAGGCTGTAAGTGGAGCTCACCTTCGGACGCAATTCGCATGATGGGTGTGACGAAGTCTGCGGGGACTGCTACGTCAACGCCCTTGCTGGGGCCGTAGGTGGAGCTATCTGTCGGACGCAATCCGCATCAGGGGTGTGACGAAGTTTGCTGTGGATGCTATGCGAGCATCCTCACTGGGCCTGTAGGTGCAGCTCCCAACGAGGGCACGATCCGCATGATGGGTGCGCCGAGGTGGGCGAGGGGACGCTATGCGAGCGCCCCCTATCGGGCTGCAGGTTGGAATCCCCTCGGAGCCCGAAAGACGTGAGGGGTGTGCCGAATCCGTGGACGAAGGCGAAGAGAAGGAACAGGGGCAGGGTGTTAGGTGAGAGGAGACGAGCGACGCTGCGAATTAAAACATCAAGGACGCAACACCACAGGAAATTTGGGACATGTGGAGGCAACCTCAGCGCCCGTAGCCGGGAAAAGCCGGCATTGCAAGCACATGCTGCTGGCAGAGAGAGAGGAAGAAGGGACGGATGGATGGGGGGTGAGATGAAGATAGACAGAGAAAGAGAGAGAGAGAGAGAGTACAATTCGGAAAGAGAGGAAGACATAGACAAATATACAAACAGAGAGCGAGAGAGAGAGAGAGAACAAGAGAGAGAGGGAGAGAAAGCGATAACGAGAGAGAGAGAGAGCACGCAATAGAACGCGAGAGAGATAGGTAAAGAGAGAGAGGGAGCGATCACCACAACGCATCGAAGCATGGCCAGCACTGCGGAGCGTGACGACGGGACCCCACGTGATGTGTGACGTTGGGGCATTCTCCCTGCGAAGTGGAGCGGTTTCTCGCAGCAGCTCGCAGAACTGATAGAGCCAGATCTACTTTGTGCTTACCATGGCGCTTCGTCTATTCAACTGTCTTTCGATTAGGTTTTCGTATCAATCTTCCCATCCCCGCCCTCTGTAAGTCGACTCGTGCGTGATACCGATGGCTGGTTGCACCTGCTTTTCCATTAGCGCACGGCTTCCTCTGCGTAATCCCTTCGACCATGGCTCTTGGCATGAGCTCTCCTCGGTCAGGCTGCCTCCTGGCCAAGCGCGGCTTTCACACAGGCTCTGATGCGCCCCCAAGGCAGGGCGCAGGCAAGGAACAGAGGAGCCTGCAACAGAACAGCTAAAGACACCACCAGCATAGCCTTCGGGGGTCGGCGCAGATTGATTGGGTCGGCGCCGGCCCCTGGCGCCAGAGGGGCCTCAAAGGGGGACCCAGCGCCTACCCAAGAAATCTGCGAGGCCCTCCGAAATGTGGCAGGTGCGTGTCGCGACGAACCAGGCGTTGGCTTTTAAAGCCACGTGGATCGTTCAACCTTCAACGATCGGCGGCTTTTCGATCGCCATGATTGTTGGATTGTGGGCCATCAGCGGCGTTCAACCTTGAACGCCTGCGCCGGGGTCGCAGCCGTCGACACGACACAAACCTGCCGTATGCTTGCGCAGCTGCTCACTCTTCTCCGGGAGAAGGCACCCGGTGCAGCCCGCACAGCGGGGCCGCATCTGGGAACCGCGGTGCCCACAGGCAAGAGGCAGGGCGTGGAGGCGGCTCGCGCGGCGGGAGAGATGGCCGCAGGCACCAATGTGGCAACCCGCGCGCCCAGGGTGGGCCCCCGCGCGGCCGGCGCTGCTGGCCCTGGGAGGGGGGAGGCCTAGCACGAGGGGAGCCCTGAGATCTGGGAGCTGCAACAGAGGCCTCCCAGATGGGGGTGGGGCAGATGGGGTCGGAGGATCGCGCCGCATTGCCGATACACTGGCTATGCATCGGCGATGCATCGGTGATGCAACGGCGATGCATCGTCGACGTCGGCGATGCATCGGCGACGTCGACGTGAGGCAAATCGGGCGCTACATCGAGCTGCATCGGAGATGCATCGGCGATGCGGCGCGATCCTCCAGTCCCATCTAGAAGGTCCAGATGCAGCGTTTCCACGCCAGGCGTGTTCGGCAGGGCTCCTGGCTCCAGGACGATCACAGATCGATCCGGCGCGGGAAAGGCCGCAGAAAGACAGGGTCTGGGGCTCTGGTCGTGCTTCTTCGCGTAAGCTGAAAGTTGTCACAACGTGGGATTTTGTTTTTTCCTCCGAGAAGACCCCGATTATCGATGATGAACCTTGCCAGCTTCCCAACAGACGGAAAGGGGCCTCCACCAAGCTCGCACGGGCCAGGGCGAAGACGGACCGAGGGAGGAAGCGAGAGGGGAGAAATGCGTAAGCATGGCGGGATGGCCCGAAGCTGAACATCAACTACATGCGCCGCGGCATCAGGCAACCAGCAAGGCGCAGTGCCACCTGTCGGCTGAAAGCCGGATCTTAAGGCACGGATCCTGGAGGCAAGGGGGCCTAGGTCTTCGCCCCTTCCTAGCCACAGGGGCTCTCAACGGGATCTGGAACCGCCAAACACGACTCGCGATGAAGGGCTGTCCCTGGGGAAAGTTCCTGGGTCTAGGACCCGTTTCCTTCCGGACCCCTTTCCTCCATGTCTAATCGTCAGGATGACTCGGGGCAAGACCGCAGTGCCGCAGGCTCCACCTTAGCGCTCACCACGGACACGATGGGCATACTATGAAGCTATCTTACACGGGCACGAGGCACACCACACTGTCCCCCTGTTAGTTTACTCAGTGGACTCCCAATACTTCTTGACTGCTTTGGCGTTCATGGAATCTGGATCCCGCAGGACCTCACGATTGGCCGCCTTTGAGATCTCAGCGGCTATCGCATCCAATGTGGAGTCTGTGGGCAACTGCACCAACATGTTCAGCCTGGACCCACGAGCCCTATGGATGTACTCGAGAATCACCCAGCAGAGGGAATCGTCGGTCTCCGCATCCATGCCGAAATGGCTGGGAATCCACAGATCACTGAAGTCCTTGGATTCGAGCTTCCGCCGGAACTTCTCGACCATCTCCTCCACGACCCCCTGGTCAACCTGTTCGGTTGGAGCTGGCATCATGGCGAACACCAAGTTCACGATGTCCGTGACGGGCCCGGGCGGGCCGTATGCTGCAAATGCCTTGCTCAGCCATCGGAGCGAGTGCTGCTCGAAGGACACCTTCTCCCCATCGGGCCACACGTACTCCATCTTGCGGAGCTTCGCGGCAGCCTCTTCCTCGAATCCGAAGATGCCCAAGATGCGATCGAAGTGCAGCCTCTGCTCCCAGCCCTTCTCGAAGTGCTTGCCAAGGAACGCGTCCCACGCGTCCAGGTCCGGGACATCCGCGGGCGTCAAGACCTCGAACTCCTTCGCGAAGCTCTCTACGTTGTCGATGGCTGCCTTCTGGCCCTCGGCCAGAGTGGGCTCCTCCCTGGCCGCCTTGATCATCTCGTGGACTTTGACCATCTTGGCCTGCACGAAGGTGTTCAGCTTGTCCTTTGGTATGGGCAGGGCAAGCTCCGCCGCAAGCTTGCAGACATCGGCCATCTTGAATATGCTCATCGCGACCCTCGGTATGGTGGGCCCGAACACGGGCACATCGATCAGCGTGATCGAGCTCGTGAGGTCGATCTTCTGGGGGTTGTTGAACGGAGGTGCGGACGCCCGGATGCTCTGGACGGGGACGGCCGTGCCGACCCAGTGCGTGCGGCGCCTCTCGGCAGCCTTCGTGAGCTGCAAGCTCAAGAACACGTTCGGCTCATCGGCGCCGGGACGCTCTATGGCGCGCGACACCTGGGAGTGTCGGCAGCAGGCGGTGCCCATGCCTGATTATGCGGCCCCTCGGCCCTTGGCCACCATGGTCGCCAAGCCCGTTTTGGGCCACAACCGCAGCTGAGAAATATAGCATGTCTCGAAGCCCGACTCGGAGGTGAACTCAGGAAGGGAGGACTCGAAAAAAACTTCTGGAAGATGGATGCCTCAAAAAACCTCCGGAAACTCCATCTGGGGAGATCAAACGGTACCGATACCGCTACTCTCTGGACCCCTCCCGACACGCGTTCTGACCAAAATTCCACTGCGAATCCGGCCGCGGTGACGAGGGCCTCCAAGGAGACCCAAGGGCGAAAGCGAGGCAACGGGAGCGGTACCGGCACATGCTCCTCCTCTGACCAACGGTGTGCGACGAGTGAGATGATTATGTTGATGATGCTGCTGCTGATGATGATGATGGTGATGATGCTGCTGCTGCTCCTGATGATGATGTGGTTGACGATGATGATGCTGATGATGATGATGGTGACGATGATGATGACGATGATGATGATGATGATGATGATGATGATGATGATGGAGATGATGATGGTGATGATGATGATGATGATGATGATGATGATGATGATGATGATGATGATGGTGGTGATGATGATGATGATAGTCTGCAGAGCCATCGGCGCGCGAGCCAGCTGCAGGGGCTCTCACTGCAGCCGTGCACGGTCGCGAGCGCCTCGGCCTGGGACTGGGCGCATGCGGACTTGTGGGAGCGCCTGGCGCCTCACTGCAGGACCAGTTTCGTCATCGCGCGCTGGGTGAAGGGGCACCTCGATGACGAGGGGGCGGCGGCGCGCGGCGTGACAGCCGCTGGCGCCTCGGCCTGGGACTGGGCGCATGCGGACTTGTGGGAGCGCCTGGCGCCTCACTGCAGGACCAGTTTCGTCATCGCGCGCTGGGTGAAGGGGCACCTCGATGACGAGGGGGCGGCGGCGCGCGGCGTGACAGCCGAGGACCGCCACGGCAGTGCGGCAGCTGACAGGCTGGCTGGCACTGCTGCCAAGGCTCGCCTGCCGGCGGCGGCCCTGCTGCAACGGCGGCTCGTGCAGCTCTACGCCCTCAGGGTGCTGCAGTCGATGCTGGCCGCCGTCGAGCTCGAGGCCGTCAAGGCCAACCATGGCAGCCGCGGCCCGGAGGGGCCTCGCGTGCGTCGCCGCTGGGGAAGGCCCCCGCGCCGCAGAGCGCCGCGCGTGGCCGGCCGATGACGCTGCCGTAGCCGCCGCGCTGGCGCGGCAGGCCCCGCAGCAGCAGCGGGGGCTTGGGCGTCGCGCCGCGGCCTGGGCCGGCGGCTGCTGCCCGGGCGCTTTTCGGTGGCGGGGCGTGGAGGGCGCACGCGGCGTCGCAGGGGCCAGATTGGGTCGCCTGTTCGCGCTGCGGCTGCTGGGCCGCCGAAGGCGGCCGCGCTGATGCTGCTCCCGCCCGCGCGGGCCGGCGGCGCCGAGGCTGACTGGCGCGGGGTCTTGCGGCAGCGCTTGGCGGCGCGCCCGGGCCCCCCCGACTAGGGGTGCGGCGGCGCCGGGCCAATTAGGTGGAATTAGCTTCGCGGCGGCTGCCCTGGGCAGCCGTTGTCCCGCGCGCTCGCCGGGCGCGCTTTTTGTTTGTCCTCCTCGCTCCTCCTTCCCCCATCCGCCGCCTCCTCTTGCGGCCTTTCCGCGTCTGCTCGTCACCCGCTCTTGCCGCGGGGCCCCCGCTGGATTCTTTTGGTTTTCAGTGCACGGTCGCGGGCGCGCTGCGATCGAGCATCGCCGCAGAGGGCAGCGGGCGCTCCCCGCGCCCCGGGCCCTCAGCGGGCACGTCTCGGGGGCCCCCCCGGCCTGCTCCGCGTAGGGACGTCGGGCGTGGGCCCCGCCGTCGTGGCGCTGCCCGGCGACGGCGGGGCCCTCCTGGCCACGACGGGGGCGCTCGACGGGGCGAGCCGTGGGGCGCTCCTGGCCTAGACTGGGCGACGACGGGGCGCTCCTGGCCACGGCGAACCCAGGCCGCGGTTGGGCTGCCCGACCTAGTAGACCCAGGGACTGGCCCGAAAAACGGGGGGCCCGCCCGAACCCAAAGCGGTACTCTCGTGTGGGCGCCTCGCCTGCACCCCTGCAGGTCCGATGTTCGAAGAAGCAGCTGGGGCTCAACAGTCGGAGGGTGTCTGCAGCCAGGCGTACCCCAGCGGGGGGCGTCTGGTACCCCAGCGCCGACTGGACCCGCAGGGGCAGAGCTCGCAAGCGGTCGCGGACCCACTCCGATCCCTGCGTGCTCCCACTCCTGGACGCCTGGCGCGGGCTCTGCGCCGCGCGAGGGAGCATGGGCAAGTGCAGGGAGAGCCTGGGGCCCGGGGACGACTCCGAATGAGAAAGCCAAAGATCGCGTTGGGAGGAAGGGGCTGGGAAGATACTGGCAAGCCTCCGTGATAAACGCAATCAACATACGCGACAATACGGACACTCTGATACCTTCAACCAGCCCCATCCCCCAAACCCGACGAGTGTAATCCTGACCGAAACCCGTGGGGAGGGCGGGCAAGTGCGGGAGACACCCGGACGAACGAAACCCTGGGTTCGGCCTTCACCCCCCCAGCCCAGGGCCCGATACTGCCGTGAGCGCGGGCACGCGCGCGACGTCGGTCGAGGCGGCCGAACTGCCACGGGGCAGCCACCGATCGTTGGAGGAGATGGGGGGGGGGCAAAAGGAATTCTGGCTCTCCCTCCTCCCGCACCCTCATCATTTACCCCCATACCTCCCTCTTTTCCGCCCATCTGATTCCTCTTTTCCTACTTATCCCATCCCTGATCCTTTCTTCCTCTCTTCTTCCAGCATGTTCCATCATGTTTCCCCCTTCTCCTCGGATCCGGGGCCCGCCGGAGGCAATCCAGTCCAGTCCCTGGATTTGTCCCTGGGTCCACCTCTGGCCAGCTCTCTCGGATTCGCGCCCTGGCCGCGGCGGCCCAAAACTTCCCAAACGACGCCAACCTCGACGCCGACGCCGACCCTAAGATCCGACGCCGCGGAAAACATACAACATCGAGGAAAGTCACGACTGGAGCCTAAAACTCCCACCGAATAGTTCTGCAAACGTCACTTTTTGAGCTGGATCGACACACGAAGGCCCCGCGGGCCCGAAACAGGATGAACATGCCTGGTGATAATTAAATGAGGCGCCAAGATACCACGGGACGCTGACGCCGACACTCGAATGTATAGCTGTGGGTGAAGACAATATATATATATATATATATATATATATATATATATATTATGTAGAGCCGATGCACAACAAGGTGCAAAGCGAATGTTGTATCGGGCGCGCGAATAGATCCCTGCAGATGGCAGCGGGTCCAGCGCAAGCCTGCGTTCCTGGATAACTGCTATTCTACTCGTGCCTCTGCCTAACCATCTGCCGCTCGAGTCTGGTGTTTTAACGGAGCTGTTGTGCCTCACTGGCACACGGGCGCATGCCGTCCAGACCACCAACAGGACCACGAACTGACTAAACAGTTGCAGCGCATCGCTGGTCAAGGAAGGGGTTCTACTGAACACCCCTCTTATACAGTATGGCATTGAGGTGTACTGAAAAACATGTTGCGAACCAGGTCCCTCAGCAAGAATTGACGTCACGACCACACGGAAGGGCTGGCAGCCACGAGCGTAGCTCATGGAGGACAGCCTTTCATCCGAGCGGCTCGCTACGTCGCATTCGCGAACACAAATCGGAAACGAGGGTATACTTGCATGTCCTTTCCTGATGTACTGCGTCGCACTTGCGAACGCAATTCGCGAAATGCGCGTCGGCCGGCGCGCCCGCGAGCACAGTTCGGACATGCGGCGACGAGTTGATCGCCCGTCGTCGATGATCCTTGCTGAAGTTGCTGTGGCTGGAGCTCAGTACTCGCTTCTTGGGGCGCTGTTCGCTCAACCTCACCGCGGGGCGCATGTGGGCGAGATTCCCCTCCGCGACGTCGAGGAGGAGCTCCCGGCCGACGCCTCGTTTCACCGCGGTGTCGGCCCTCACGTCGCGGGAGTCGCACCAGAGCATGTCGGATAGCCGTTTGGCGCGCAGTTGGTCTGATAGCCACCACGGGCGGCCTGCCGAGCGATTCTCTGGAAGCGGATGCAAGCGACCCATGGCCAGTGCGGACCAGACGGACAAGCCGTCAACAACCAGCGCGGCCGGCACTGCGTAACCTTCCTCCCCCCTCAGCCTCGCGATCTCATCTGCTGCGGCGGGTCCACGCACCATCTCGCGGAGCGCAAGCAGGTGCGCATGCTGCGAGCAGATCGGGTCCAGATGAGGATGCACGCGTAAATTTGTGCGATCGGTTCGCGGCGCCAAACAAGTGGCATATTTGATTGCCAGTAGTGGTCACTTGCCCGAACGCATGCATACAGCGCCTCTCGCGCCGTAACCTGTCTCGAGCCGTCGCTGCGCTCGCAGATTTGGGGCGCGCGCTCCATCGCCGGGTTGGCGACGTGCGTTCTGATCTTCTGCGCGACCACATGCTGCGCCCGACAAACAGCTAGCTCTCGGCCCGTCGCGGCGCGACGATGTGGGCGGCAACGCGGATTGCGCGAGCAGCGCATATGCAGCTGCGTCTAAGAGGGAGAGCAAGACGTCCTGGAGTGGACCTCCGGTCGGCTCGTCGGCTCTCGATTCGACTCGGCCAGCGCGCCCGATGGGGATCAGCGCGTCGATGTCTTCGCCCTGGCCAGGCGTCACTGCGCGATCGGCGCAGCGGCCCTGGCGGACACCGCAGTTGGTGAATTCGTCGTCATCATCCTTTCTTCTGCGAAGACGCTCTGGATGCGGCAAAGGCGTCGGTCGACGTGCTCCTCGCGCCCTGCCGCCTTGGAGCCGTCAACGTGCTCGGACTGCATGGGCGCTAGCTCTGAGACGCCATCGCCAGAGGCGCCAGACGCCTCATGCTAGACTTCACGCCCAGGGCCTCGCAGCGTCGGCGTGGCGCCGCGCTCGGGCGAGCGCGCGGCCCGGGCGAGCTTCTGGGCGCGCC